CAGGAAGCAAAAATCTATCTGTACCTGGTGCAACGAGAGCGAAGTCGCACTGTGTACCATGGACTACTACTATTTTTTTTTTTTTTTTGAGACATATACAAAAGTTGTCACATTCTTGTACAGCCACTAGTACGCGCAGCGTTTCAGGCTGGTCCCTGGAATACGATCCCCGCCGCGAAGAATTGTTGTTACAACCAAGTACCCATGGTTCATTGATTATTACTCACTTCCGAAGTACTGAGTGTGTAATACAGTGTGTTACTGTGTAAATAGTGTGTGAAATTGTACATATTGTAATTTTAGTGAATTTTTAACAAATAATATTGCGACAAACATTTATTGTGGACGCATTACTGACACATGTATCACAGATCCATGAACATTATGAACATCACAGTGGTTAAATGTAAAGTGCTCATAGGCCATTGCTCCATGTGGCTCTATGAGGGAACCAGGTTCTGACTTGTGGTTCCTGGTAGGCAAAGGACTCTGCGACTGATGACCCCAAACTAATATAGCACTATATTACTTCGGATAGCTTCAGGGAGCCAATGGGCTCCCTCCAGAAAATACAAATATTTTAGTCATACTACATTTATCATTAGTATCTATACACAATATATTGTACTACATTTGTGTTCATGCCCTTTAATCCCTGTGGTGTGCAGCTTTCAGACATTTTAAATACAGTAGTACATATTAATTTAACATATTAACAAGTCTTTGCTAAAACATTACCTACAAATGTACTGCACAATTGTACTAGATTTTCAATAAAGTTTCTGGAACTTTCTCAGATTTTCTGTCAGTTTTATCATTTTAAATCCTTTCAGATTTAGTTTTTAGATCTCAGGATTTTCAGTGTTGAACTACTGATACAAATAGCTTAGTATTATATACAGTAGTATGTATTCTATATTGACACAGTCACAGTCATGTTAAGTAGAAATTTGTCAAGTTAACTGTACCAATTTATTGGCAAATTCTCTATGTACAGTCATTAAAGTTGTTCAAACCTCTAGATGTCTAAGAGTGCTCTTCATACACAACAGAAAGAAGGTAAAAATCCCAAACAAATGATGACTGCCACATTCAGATACCAAAAATAGATTGACTCTTTACAAGTACACACTTGAATATTTCTAGTTAGAGTATGTATGACTTTCACTGCAGTACTTGCATGATAATCCTTTAAACTTGCATTAATAGTTTCACTAAACACCATCTTCAGTCAACAGCAGAAACTGAGGGAGTGACTGTGATGATGGTAGTAAGGAAAGGAAGCCACACAATGCACCTGACCTAAATATAAGAGAATCCGAGTGCAACACCAAGAACGTGAATTTTTAGCAAAATATAATATTGACAATTGTATAATAATTACTTATTTTTATTATATAATACCCTTTTTATGCATAAAATTAAACTGTCATCCAATAAATATATCAGAAGAGAAAATTATCATACATTTCAGTTAAAATATAAAAGAAAAATAACAAAATAAATTTCTAAATTTTTTTTTGCAGAACTAGGCATCAGCTCCTGAGCCCCAATTTGTATAATGTTGATTGCACAACACATTCACTCCTTGTCAAAACAAGAATATATTGTAATTATCCGAGTGTAATTACTTAAGTGTAGTTACAGGATGAGCTACCCACGTGGTGTCCCGTCTTCCATGTACTCTTTGTCGAATAACCCTATGAAACTACCGATGATTTTGGCCTCCACCACCCTCTCACTTAGCTTGTTCCAACCGTCTACCACTCTGTTTGCAAAAGAAAACTTTCCAATATTTTTTCAGCACCTTTGTTTCCTTAGCCTGAATCTGTGTCCTCTTGTTTGTGAAGTTGCTGGTTTCAGGAATTCCTCTATCAGTTTGGTCAATCCTGTTAGTATTTTCTAAGTGGTGATCATATCTCCTCTTTTTCTTGTATCTTCTAGTTTTGGCATGTTTAATGCCTTTAGTCTCTCCTCATAACTCTTGCAACTTTTCAGTTCTGGAAGCCATTTTGTAGCATGCTATTGTATCTTTTCCAGTTTATGGGTGTGCTTCTTAAGATTTCGGCATCATACAACTGCTGCATATTCCAATTTGGTCTCACAAACGTCAGTGTGCACGAGCCACCATGATATTGACATAATTACTACTGACTCAAAATTGGGAATCCTGGGTTCAATTCCCAGATAGGAGAGAAATGGTTTGGCACATTTTTTCACTGAATAGCTCTGTTCACTTAGCAGTAAACAGGTACTTGGGAGTCAGACAGCTGTTATGTTGTTGAATCCTGGAGGTCAGTAGTTTAACCTTGGGGGTAGGGGGGGGCCTCAATACAAGCCTAGAATACATATACTATATATATATATATATATACTCTACATAGGATGCTTGTCTCTGACAAAATTAATAATTACAGTACCCTGTACTATAAAAATTCCATTTCTCATTTTTCTATTAACTCGACTCATTTTTTTAGTACACTTGCTTATAGGCACTGTGTACGTACTTGGGAATTTGAAACATGTATATACAGTGGAACCTTGGTTCTCGTATGCCCCTGTTCTCGTATTTTTCAGTACTCGTACTCAATTTCTCCGAAAAATTAAATTCGGAGAAATTAATTGTTCAACCTAAGAAAAGTTGTGAGGATGACGATAGAGGAAAAACGAGATCATTCATAGTGAGACAATGTGATGTCTCACTACAGACAAGTGTTAAAACATAGGGAAAAACAAGTGTCTATAGACAGATTCTTAGTAAGACAAGCAAGCTGTGAGCCACAACCAGGTCCTAGTGGTATGCTTGCAAAACGTAAGATAGAGAGTACCCCAGTAATGACATCACTCCTGTTATAATGGGAGGGGACTCCCCTTCCAAACACCAGCACTCCTCTTCCTCCCCCTTCCTCACTGTCTTCCATACGCCAAGTCCTCAATAAAGGTAAGGTACCTAAGAGTATTATTTTGTATAAAATGTATTTTTAGTCAATATATTTGGGGGTGTGGAACGGATTAATTCAATTTACATTATTTCTTATGAGAAAATTCGTTTCGGTTTTCGTACCGTCTCTGGGAACGGATTAACTACGAAAACTGAGGTACCCCTGTATATACAGTGTATAATTAAAATGATGCATCATTCTGGATGCTAACCTTTTAGTTTTAATTATGTACTTTCTCTGGTGATTTGGATCCTACACTCCTTCACTGATCTATAGCTTTTAAAAGGTGAAATGTTACATAATTTTCTAAATTGTGATTAAGTTTGCCATTTCAATGTGCCTTCAAGACTCCCTATTTGTATGCATGTTTAGATCATTAGTTTAAATCAGACATGGGGCAACAACTAGCCGAAGACGCTTGCAAATACTGCGCCACAGCTGAATCCGCAAACAGCAAGGGGCAGAAGGGTGAAGACAACCTAAGAGCCAGGGCCCAGCCAGATTCCAGGGAGGAAGCAAGCACCGCCTGCCGATACGCAAGCCGGGAGTCATAAAACGGCGACACCGCATCCTGCAGGATCGGCGCAAACAACTTCAACAAGGCAGACGACGAGCGAGCCACCAAGCCCAAGGCACCAGACCCAGGAACGACCCCAAGCGCCTTCACATCCTCCCCAAGCCAGTCCGAAGACAGCTCAAGGAGGGAAAAAAGAGGCGCAAAGTCGAAGCCAAGAGGCCACGAGCACACAAGTCCTCAGCAACCTGTGCAGCCTAAAGGGAATGGACCTGCACAACGCCTACATCGCGAGGAAGGTCAGTAGCAAACAAGCCCTCATTGAGGTGCTCAAATTCTCCCCTCAGGAAAACCTGGACCACCGTCAAAGTCTCACGCCACTCAAGCGTGCAGGAACGACAGAAGGAATGCCACTCCTCCAAACCAAAAGAGGACAGTCCTCCAGTCAGGATGACTCCGAAACCTCATACCGGATCCAGTAGGGAAACAAAGATGAATCCATGATAGAGACGTAATACGGGTCACGCAGGAGGTAAGCCACAAAGACCACACACACCACACCATGTAAGGTACGAGATTGAAAGCCGTACCCTAAAGTATCGCTAACAACATACCCGCACATACCCGCACACACACATTTCTGGGCTCCCCCCAGAAAAAGTTATATATAACATGTGAATATAGTGTAATAACAGCAAAAACACTTCGATTGATCTTAGAATATAATATACGTGTCACCATATATGAGCTCCATAATTTTGAGCATAGCGATATTCCATACAACTACATAAATGCCACACTTTTGAATAATATTGCAGCAAAAAAACAGGAAAGAAACGAATGAGTGACACTGAAATACAGTAATTATGAAAAATTATATTCACGAACCCGCCACATACAATATTTTAGTTTAGTTTCCCATGATCAGAGACCACATTTTAATAATGCAGTACAGTATAAGAGAGAAAAGAATTTGTTTAATTTTTTCCGATGCACCACGGGGATGTCATATTATAATGGGACGGAGTGTAGTGGTTAAGATGGACAATAGCAAACAATAATATTATAGCAGGAAACCAACCTGGAAATAACCAACCACAGGTCAGAGAACTTCCGCGATTCTGTGACAAATTCTCGCTTAACCACCAGATTACAGAACTCACTAGGAACGGACACACACTCGACCTGATCTTCACCAACAAGGAAGAACTAATCAGACATTCAAATCTCTGGGGTTTAAAATACAGATAGAAAAGATCATCCGAGCTAATGAGGGGGGGGGGGACCATTGACAAGCCCCCAGCTTTCTGTCCTCATCGAGGCCACTAGTATTAACGGCCCTCAGGTAAATTCAGGTAAATACTCAGACCACAAACTCATTGAAGTTCAAACTAACATTAATACCTGCAGTAGGTCCAAGAGAATCAACAAGCAATGCCAATTCCAGAGCACATCAGAGAATACATAGAAGTTTCCCAAGATGAAGTTGAAAAATTTCTCAAGGGGCTAGGAATAAATAAAGCAGTTGAAACAAAATTGCTCACCTGTAACAAGGAGGCTTGCCATCTTCTTGTCAACAATCTCAAAATCTCCATTGTTATCTTCCTGCATCATTGCTTTTTTAATCTGCAAACAAGGATTTCATGTAAATAACATAGTTTCAGTAATTAAAAAATCTTGTGCCCATTTCATTATATTGAATCTCTATATACTGTACTTTTAACATTTTTTGGGAAAATGCCTATACTATCATAAATAGCTGAAATATCCTAGTTTTAATTTATTTAATTCAATATATTTCTTGCAATACTATATTTACAAAGTAATGTAACCCTATATTTCATTTAGCTAATGAACCCTACTGATGGTGTTGCTTTATAATGATACTGTATACAAATTATCACCACCACCACAAGCCAATTTCCTACTTTCATCGGATGGGTAGGTATCAGCTAGGAAGAAATTGGAGAGTAAAGAGGAAAAGAAAAATACAAATATCCAAAATACTATATACCCTTCATCCATTTGCCATTTCATCCACAAACTGCAGCATCACATAAAACTACCACTATCACACTGCAACCATTGGCCTGTTTTGGGTTTCTAGACAATTGGCTGAAATTCCAGTTATCTGGTGTGGGACATCAGGATGGCCTCACATTCTCTTCAGAAGTCAGCATTGATGAGTCTCGGCAACAATTTCCATCAAGTTTTCGGCACGAGTTATCCTTTACATTCAAACTCTAGCAGCTCCTGGGCCATTTAAAATTGCATAATAATCCTGATGGGACAGATATGACTGAAGGTCCTATATTGCCATCTGTGCTGTTTGAGGCATTGTCGGTTTTGGGATACTTTACCTAGCGATGATTTCGGGGCTCAAAGTCCCCCACAGCCCAGTCCTTGACCAGGCCTCATTGTTGCTGGACTAGTCAACCAAGCTGTTGGACACGGCTGCTCACAGCCTGGTTGATCAGGTATCCTTTAGAGGTGTTTATCAAGTTCTCTCTTGAACACTGTGAGGGGTCTGCCAGTTACGCCCCTTATGTGTAGTGAAAGCGTGTTGAACAGTCTCGGGCCTCTGATGTTGATAGTTCTCTCTCAGAGTGCCTATTGCACCTGCTTTTCAACGGGGGTATTCTGCACATCCTGCCATGCCTTTTGGTCTCATGTGGTGTTATTTCTGTGTGCAGGTTTGGGACCAGCCCCTCTAATATTTTCCATGTGTAAATTATTATGTATCTCTCCCGCCTGCGCTCAAAAGAACACAGATTTAGGCATTTTAGTCGGTCCCAATAGTTTAGATGTTTTATTGAGTGGATTCTAGCAGTAAAGGCTCATCTACTATTGGATGCAAAATGTAAGGAAAAGTGGAAATCAACTGAATATCTACAGTATGAATAGTTTCATGCATTGAACAAGTTGAGTATGTGGTGGCCCGCCCCATCTGTCAATGCAAGAGCTCACTCAGTAAAACACACTACAGTGCATGAGCCAGAAACACTCAATGTTGAACTTGGATATCTAGACAATCATGTGTATGAATGTATGTATCAATGAATGAACGTATGCATATCATTGAAAGTATGAATATACATATTAATGAAAGAATGAATATACAGTATATAAACAAATAAAAAGCATGTACAGGTACTGTATTTGAATATACAGTATGTATCAATGAATGATTTCATCAATGAATATGTATTAATGAATGAATATATGAATATACTTATCAGTGAATAAATTTGTGTGTGTGTATCAACAAGAACTAAGGAAACTGTAGAAAGGCATATTAGCCTACACAAGGCAGCTCCTATTTATATCGTGGATATAAATAAGAGCCTGCTTCGTTAAGGCCAAAAGGCCTTCTACAGTTTCCTGCTCACCTACCAATAAATAGGTGCCCAAGAGGTAGCTTGTGCAGACAATGAGTCACAATAACGTGGCAGAAAAATGGTGAACAGACCACACACTAGAAAATGAAGGGACGACGACGTTTCGATCTGTCCTGGGCCATTCCCAAGACGATTATGACTCGAGATCAACTTGAGAATGGTCCAGGACGGACCGAAATGTTGTTGTCCCTTCACTTTCGAGGTAGCTTATTGTGGGGTTGCATCCTAGGTAGAGTTATTCGACCTTGGGGCAGACCTCAATCTAAGCCTAACAATGTATATACAGTATCCACTCAATTTAATGGCCTCTTTTATACCGATCTGCCGGTATTAACGACCGGTTTGGGAGACCGTTATCTGGAGCCTGCTACTGTATACCGGTCTGCGGTCGATATTACCGACGGTCGGTATTGGGTTTGTTGTGGCATCAGCATCCCCTCACATAGCGACCAGGCCACCGACCTGGATCGTCCAGAGTCATATATTAAATCTTAATTTTCTTTTAAAATGATTCACTTTAATGAAGAAAATTGTAAATTATTATTAATAAAATATTTTGAAACAGTTTTTATTAAGCAAAATTCTTTGTTTTATTATTAAATACCTTTTATAGTATAGGCACTCTGTATTTTTTTTCCCACGGACCTAGAATGTACTCCGCCGGGCCATGTGTTCCCATTGTTTACTCTGAACTCGCGCGGCTAGCTTCAATTGTGAAGGATATTACTGTGCTGTAATTGTGATCTTCTTTTTAATTTACAAAATGTCAAAAGTTACCCAAAGGAAGCGCCTGACGGTTGCACAGAAGCTGGAGTTAATTAAGAAACTTGATAAAGGATATTCTCATGCACGAGCAGCAGCAGAGTTTAACATCGGGAAAAGTACAGTAAGTGACATCAAGAAACAGAAGGATACTCTATTAAAATATGCCTGAAAATAAGTGTACATACAGTATGTACCCTGTATACAATATAAATAATCTTCAGCTTCATTAAAAGTAAGTCAATTTATCAATTTTATTATAGTATTACAAGATATTAATTGTTTTTTTTCAACAAAAGCTACATATTAGTCTCTGCAAATGTATATTCTATCGTCAGCAGAGAATAGGTGAGCTCAAAATATTTCGTCTTGGCTAGCTCTCAGTGACAAGGCTCGATCGCCATTGTTATGGCATGGCCGCCACAGCGTGTGTTGTAACATTAAAAATACATTACCTGCACTGTTCAGGGTAAATCAAAACACATCTCTAAAATATTATTGAGAAAATATTAACTTGCTGATTGATACATGAAATATTTTGCAATACAAAGGAATGAATCAATTTTTTCCCACCCATCTGGGCTTGATCAGACCGTGTTCACACATCATCCATGCAGCAGCCAACAACTGGCTTAATCGTCGGTGTGGCACTAAATTGGAATGCAATTACACAATGAACTTTATTTAATTTTAGTTATACAGTATAAAATATATCCTACCTGAATGTTACTTGAAAAATTACCCGACCCGACTTAACTTCGGAAATAACGGAGCTCCAAAAATAACGACTAGGGCTCAGCCCCATATAGGCCGTTAAATTGAGTGGATACTACTGTATATACATTGGCTGCCTGACCCTCAACACAATGAATTATTACTCAACATAATCAGCACTCAGAATTATAACAAACTCCAATACAGTACTCCATCACTTAGCACCCTTACTACAATCCCTGAATATTTCATATATCAAGTCACTGCACACACAATCAACTGTACTTTCTATCTATAAAACTCTGAACAGCAATGCTAAATCCTGATCTCAAACACTTCCATAACCACCATGCTGCGCCGAGTTTATTGTGAAATTCCCCCTGTGCGCATGAAATCAAGTCTTCCCAAAAAACCAGCGTTGAATGTAATGAAAAGCCATTTTCTGGGTGAGACCCGGAGGCTCCCCGGAGCTTTACCGGCTGATATGCTAATGTCAGACTTTGGCATCAGTCATGTGTATGGAGTTCTAGGGCCTACCGGGGACCACGAGCCAGAACCTGGCCCCCTCAGAGAGGCAAGGGGAGCAATGGCCTATAGAAACCCCCGTGTGGTTGGAAGCATTCTATGTCTGCCATCGACCGGGTCAAGCATCCAGAAAGGTAAGCATTCCAAAACAAACCCCTATTCTGGTGAAAATTGCTACCTAAGCCGAACTAGTGAATAGAACTCTTCAACAGAAAACAAGGAAACTAGTATGACGTCATACGTCACCGCGCCGCTGTCTGCGCAGCTCCCCCCTCCCCGGGAGGGGGAAGGGGGAGCCCCAGACCTCCCACGCCGGCTATCCACCCATCAGTTCTGAGGCTGGATGTCAAAACACGCGAAAAACGCCGACCGGAGGGAGGGAGGGTTGCCGGGGAGCCTCCGGGTCTCACCCAGAAAATGGCGTTTCATTACATTCAACGCTGGTTTTCTGGGGGGAGCCCCGTCGGCTCCCCGGAGCTAACTACCCACAGAGGAAGGTCAAAGGGACAAAACCGGGAGGCGGACACCACGCACCCCCCAAGGAGGCGAGACAACCGGCAGCAAACGCCAACCCAAGGCGCCACAGCCCCGAAAATCCCGGGAACAACACGAGAACCACGAGCAGCAAGGCCCCTGCACGAACACCAAAAATCCATGCCCGAAAGACTGCAAGGCCACGTCGCCCAGACGGCAGCGAGAGCAGCGAAGCCACGAACGCCACAGGCATGAGGGAAGAACACAGGCAGCTTAGCCGCAAGAACACGGCTGACCACCCGGGACACCATCACCCGCGAACCGGGAAGAACAGAACCGGATCAACGCAAAACGCGCTCCGGACCCAAACGCCGTGGCACGCAAACAACAGCGGAGGGCCGCCACTGAACACAAAAACGACACACCCCCGGCCCGACCAACGAAGCACCAACAAACCCTGGACCCCTCCAGAATGCAGCAGCCCCACCCCGCGCCAGAAAAGATGGAGACTGCTGCCATCAAACAACCAAAACGCTAAAACCGAAGGAGCAAGAAAACTCAGCGAACCGACCCCCAGAGGCAAAGGCCCAAAGGAAAGAGCCGACGAAAAAACACACCGGAACCGAAGGGGCACTACCAACCGAGGAGAAGACAGAGCACACTGACCAGAGACCAGGATGGTGCAAGCGGCGCACGAACAGGCCGGAGGTGAAACGACGCACAAGACAGCTGACTAACGGTGCAGAAGCAACA